TCAGCACCCTTGGCGCACAGCGTGCACGCCTGCCGACGCCGCCCTGCTCACTGCTCGCAGGCTGGGCTGCGACTTCGAGGGGCCCTGCGCCGTTCGCACTGACGAGAACGTGGCGATCGATCTGCCGCGCTTGGGACCTCGGCAGGTGAGGGAGGAGGTCAGGCGCGCTGCGGTGCGGGCCTCCGACAAGCTGGCGCTCGAGGTCACGGGCAAGGCCCTGGCGCGCGGCGTGGAGCCTCTCCCCAGCTGGCCGATCTTCTGGGTGCCACTGCACAGGCTTCTCAGGAGGACGACGGATGTCTGGGGCAGGAGGCAGCAAGGGGCCTTGCGAGCCCTGGCCACCAACGTCCACTGGCCGCAGGCGCGGTTGTTCGCGCACGGCCTGGTGAGCAGGCTATGCGGCGGCGGCTTGGGTAGCCTCTACCCCCGCCACTACGAGTGCCCAGCCCATGAACGACTCCGACGCGATCACGCCTCCCTCCGCCTTCGCCAGCGGGCTGCCCGCGTCAGAAGTTGGAGCGTGGAGGCGGGCGAGCGGTTCTGCAGGGGGCTGTGGCCAGACCCCCGCTGTCTGTTCCAGCGGGCTGGCGCCGAGGGCGACATCGCCTGGATCAACAGGCCCAGCTCGGGGCGGCTCACGGGGTGCCTCTTTCTCGACGGCAGCTCCTGCATGAAGCGCCTCCCTGGGCTGGGGCATGATGGATGGGCGGTGGTGCAGGTAGACCGCTTCGGCAACCTGGAGGCGGCCGCTTTTGGGCCAGTGCCCACCTCGGCGGCGCCAGGCCAATCGGCGCCCGACGCTGAGGACTACGCGGTGTTTATGCTCACGATGGTGGCGATGGCGCCCTTCCAGTTGTACCTGGACTGCGCCAACACCTTGCGGGTGCTGGCAGGCGGCGCAGGTGCGGGGGCCGGCGGCGCGGACATGAGGCCCCACCTGTGGGGGCCCTGTTGGGCAGCGTTCGACGAGAACGACTTCACCGCCCACAAGACGCTCGGACGCGCGACGAGCGCCGACGTGGACGCGGGGCGCAGCACGCACTGGGAGAGGCGCGCCAACAACCACGCCGACGAGCTGGCCAAGAGAGGTGCAGCCCGGCATGGCTTTGGCGAGCCCGAAGCGGCCCTGTGGCGAGGCCTGCGCGTCCTCACCGACGAGGCGGCGAGCTGGAGCGCCTCCCTGGAGGCGTCGCTGGGAGACGAGACGAGACAGAACCAGGAGGATGTTCTTCGACGCGAGCCTGCAGGCGGTGCCTGGGTTGACTCGGACCTTGGCGAGGAAGCTGCGGCCGAGGCGGATGGAGCAGAAGACCACCCCGGCGAGGGGCCTCAGGATGATGCAGGCCTGGCCGCGCCGCAGCAGGGATCTCCCAGCGATGGAGCTGTCGCTGGACCCGCTTCCAGGCCTCCCAGTCCTCATCTCGACGCCCTGACGTTCGACCTGGACGAGGCCGTGCTGGCCAGGCATGCGTGGAGCGTGCAAGGCCATGCGCTACTCCGCTGCGGCGTCGTGCAGAAGCCAGAGGTGCGCCTGGTGGTCTTCTGCCTCAGCTGCGGCGCCGTGCTGACGGGCAAGCGGCCTGGCAAGCTGCGCAAGGCGCCTTGCAATGGGCGGCGGGGGCGAGGAGGAGCTGGGGAGGAGCAGCTGAGGCTCGTCCGCCAACTCAGGTGGCCACACTACCGTGCTGGCCACCAAGGCGATCGGCTTGTGGGGCCCTTCGCCATCGATTTCGACGAGCGCCTCAACCTGTCAACCAGCCGGTTGGGTAGCCAGGCTGCTGGGGCTGGAGGCGCGCAGGGGGCAACAGGTGAGGCCGCGGGGGCGGCTCTCGAGGGGAGAGCGGCTCGGCTCCACCTGCTGCGATGCCATGGGGTCCGGGAGTCCGACATCGAGGAGGTGCGCGAGGTTGGGCGGGCAGCTGCCCGCGCAGCGGCTTGCCTCGAGAGTGACTCCGACGACTGCGACGACGGGCGTTTCACGGGCTGAGGGGGCCCACCCGCCCTGCCTGCTGGAGGCAGGCCACACCCATACCATACCATACCATACCTCCCCCCCTCTTCCTCCTCTTGCTTCTCCTCCGCCTCCGCCCTCCTCCTCCTCCGCCGCTTCCCTCCACTGCCTCCCCCTGCTGCTTCTCCTCCTCCTCCTCCTCCTCCTCATCCTCCTACCGTTTCCCACCTCTTCCTCCTCCTCCTTCTCCTCCTTCTCCTCGGTTTCCTCCTCCCCCCCCCTTCTTTTTGTCATTAGCAACATATGTTCATTAGTTTTAATAAGAATATTGTCATTACTTGTAGTGTTGGTATTCGAGGTGTTCAATATGTGTAATAGCATGTTATGTATCGCGCCTGATTATTCGTCGTAGTATAAGTGTAAACGATTAGCAATATGATCAGTATTATTAATCCGTCTTGGTATTGTTATGCTATAATTAGTAGTATGAGTGTTCGCCACGATATTCTTCATGGTATTCCGATTATTCTTCTTGCTACCATATATAGCATTAGTAATCGTATGATTCGTAGCATCGTATTGGTAAGGCGATTTGACTTATTATTATTCGTCCTAATATGCATATTATCGTTCCTCCTCCTCCACTTCATCCTCGGCCTCCTCCTGATCCTCTTCCAGTCCGTATCAGTATTCACATGGTGGCTTATATGATGACTAGCAGTGTTGCTACCATTAGTGTTATTACCCATAGTAGTAGCATCAGTATCAGTATCCGTCGTTTAACGATTACTGGTAGTAGCCACAGTATTAATAGAAACGATACCACTAATACTCAGAATACTCATATCAATGATAGTCAGCGAAACGAATACTGATGCGAATACGAGTGATGAGACTATCAAGTATACTAATACAAATAGTACGCGTACTATTATTAGTAGCCCCCTACAAAAATTAGTCTTGGTCGTGTTGTTCCTATTAGTGGTCGTATCAGTCATGTCCGTCGTACAATTCGTGGTACGAGTGCTCTTCTTATTAATCCCACCAGCCCTTTGGGCGTGAGTGGTTTAGAGAGCCCGCTCTGTTCTCAACCCCCCTTCTTCCCCTTCGGGGAGGGGTTTACCCCTCCCCCTACCCCCTCCCCCTGGGCCTGGAGAGGTCCCTCCGCGGGTCGCTGGAGGGGTCTTTTTCGACTCCTCGGAGGGCTAAAAAACGACACCTCTCACGAGGATTCTGGCCCCGACGGGGGGAGGGAGAAAAGTGCTCCCCCATCTGTGATCGATCGCCCGACCGATGGCCCCAAGATTCCTCCCAGACCCCTTCAAGAGGCCTCCAAGAGGCCTCCAAGAGCCCCCAAGAGGCCTCGGCCTCCAAGAGGCCCCCAAGATGCTCCCAAGAGGCGCCCAAGAGGCCCCAAGAGGCTCCCCCGAGGCACCCCAGACGCTCCTGGAAGCCCCTGGAGCCGCCAAGAGGCCCCCAAGACGCCCCAAACGGCCTCCAAGAGGCTCCCAAGAGGCCCGACGAGGCTCCCCCAAGGCACCCCAGACGCTCCTAGAAGCCCCTGGGGCCGCCAAGAGGCCCCGAAGACGCCCCAAAAGGCCTCCAAGAGGCTCCCAAAACGACTCACACCACGACGAGGGCCCCGAACGACTCACACCACGAGGAGCCCGAACGAGTCACACCAGGAGGAGGGGCCCGAACGACTCACACGACGACGAGGGGCCCGAACAACTCACACCACGAGAAGCCCGAACGACTCACACCAGGACGAAGAGCCCGAACGACTCACATCACGAAGAGCCCGAACGATTCACACCAGGAAGAAGGGCCCGAACGACTCACACCAGGACGAGAAACCCCAAACGACTCTAACCACGCGGAGCGCTTTCTCTCCCTCCTCCTCCGCCTCGTCCTTCTCCCGCTCCCCCCACAAGGAGGATGTACAAGGAGGCAGGAGGAAGGAGGAACAGGGGAGACATGCGGGGCCAAGCGGACACAAGCCTGAAAAACACGACTGTCGGCATGCTTCGCAAGAGTTGCTGTTGTGAGATGGGCTGGTGGGGATACGCGAAGCGTAAAGAATAGTAGTATGTTATTCGTCGTCGTATGATAATGTTTATGTGGATTGGTTGTGTGATTCGCAATATTCTTCAATGTCGTAATCGTATGATCCGTCTTAGTCGTAGTATTGTTCGTCTCTTTCTTGATATGAGTCTTACACTTATGTTTATACTTAGTCGTCCTCCTCCTCCTCCACCTCTTCCTCCTCTTCCCTGCTCTTCCGCATCATATTTCTCCTCCTCTTCCTCCTTCAGCCCTCCCCCTCCTCCTCCTCATCGTCCTCCAACTCGTCCCTCCTCCTCCTTCTCCTCCTCCTTCTCTTGTTCGTATAACGATAATGATTACTCATAATGATACCATTACTGAAGTTATTATAATGATTACTTTCATTAATTGTTTGATCCGTATTCGTCCCCCTCCTCCCCCTCTGCGTCCTGCTCCTCCTCATCTGCCTCCTCCTCCACCTCCCCCGCCAACTCCATCTCTTAATCCTATTCCTCCTCCTCCTCCTCTTCCGCCTCGTCTTCCTCATCCTCTTCCACGTCGCCCTCCTCCTCCTCCTCCTCCTCCTCATCCTCTTCCTCCTCCTCCTCCTCCGTTCGCCTTCGTCGCGAGGCAGTCGCCTCAAGGACACAGCCCGGCGGCAAGGCTGGCGGTCCTGCACGCTCAATTCATAATTTATCGTCGTCATCATCATCAGCATCATAAGCATCGTCATCATCGTCATCATCGTCATCGTCATCACCGCAATCACCATCATAAGGAATCATTATCATCATCATCCTCGTCGGCATCGTCTTATTTATCAACATCGTCATCAACATCCTCAGCAGATCATCATCATCACATCATCGTCGGTATCGTCGGCATTTCATCACCGTCGTCGCCGTCGTCATCGTCATCCCCCCGCTTCCCACAGCACCCACCCCGTGCTCCCCACAGCACCCATCCCCGTGCGCAAGCGGACGTCGCGACCCCCCGGGCGCTCCTGCGAGGGGAACTTTTTCACGACCCGACTCGGGTCGTCGGGCAGCCAGCAGAGCTCGAAACTCGGTCGGCAGGAGAAGAAAGCATACAGAAGAAGGAAAAGATGGAAAAGAAGAAAGACAGGAGAAGGAAAGAAGGAAACATAAGGAAGGAAGAAGAAAACAAATAGCACAAACTCGGTAGGCAGGAAAAGGAAAAGAAGCAAAAGCTGCATGAACATGATCAGTTGGAGGTCCGCGCGGATCTCTCAGGTCGGCGCTGGACCCCCTGGCGGAGCCTCTGGCGCCGCCTCTCGCGCGCCTCGCGCGCCAGGTAGGGAGGGGGGCTCAGCGCCGACCCGAGATGCCCGCGCGGACCTCGGAAAGAGCGTCCAAAAGCGAGGGAGTCCAAACTCGCGCCCTGGCCGCGCGCAGCGGTGCCCCTGGAGAGACGTCCGAGGAAGCCACGCCCGAAGGAAGGGGCACGTTCATCTCGGAGTGCCGGTAGCAGCTCCGTGTTTGGGTGGGGACGCCCGCAACCCACTCGAGCTTGCCGCTGGCAGTGCGTCCAACGCGAGGGGGTCAGGAGTCTTCAATGAAGACTCTTCACCTGGATTTGTCTACGGGCGCGTTCTGGCCAGCATTTCGAGGCGTGACCCAGCCGTGACGACGAGGCGCCTCCGGAAGCTCACAAACCAAAACAAATCCCCAAAAACGTCCGATCCCCGAATCTCGATCCTCGAAATCCGAACACTATCAGCCCGTATACTGGGATGCGGGATAAGGATGCAAGGGCCCTGGACGCCCATCTCGAAGCTTCTCGAGCGGCGCGCGGCCAACGAAAGTGGTCAAGGATGGGCCGAGAAGGCAAGGATGCAAGGGCACCAACCTTTTACTATGCTTAAGCCGGGCGTGTCCCCCTACAGGGGGATTTTCGACGAAATATAAAGAATACTCAAAAAATACTCAAAAGATGCCCAAAAATACTCCCAAAATAGTCCCCTGACTATTTTTTGATTATATTTGGATATTCCCCCTGTAGAGGGACGGGCCCGACTTGATACTATGCGGGTTGACCGAATCGAAGCGCAACACCTGCATGAACACAAACTGCGGGAGCTCCGCCCAGATCTCTCGGCTCGGCGCTGGGCGCCGCTCGCCTGGCCACGAGGAGGCCAGCTCCGACCCAGGAGACCGACGCGGACCTCCAGAGATCGATGCTCGTGCCGTTGCTCTACAGCTCGAGAAATCGGCGGTGGACAAACCTCCCTTTAGTGAAAACGGCCTAAGACCGAAACCGACGGACCTGGACCCGCAAAAATGACGGCCGCGACGCCCTCTCGCGAACCGAAAACGGCCAATTCCTTAATCGACGTGTCAGAGTAGAAGGTCTAGCAACCTCCGAAAACTGCTTCTTCCTGAGAACCCTCCGGGAACCATGCTGCTGCAATGCTTGGCGCCGCTCTCTGCTCATCCCTGCGCGGCGGAAACTTCGTCCGCAACTCCGCCTGGGTGCTCGATCTTCGGAGACCGGGGGGACCTTCTGATCCGGTCCATCCAGACCCAGAGCGGTCGGGCCCCGCAGGCTCCGGCAGAACCCTGCAGGCTTCTGCATCAAGACCCGGGTCGGTGCAGCCCTGGAGCCTGCAAGCCCCGGCGCTCCGACTGGCCCCCGTCTGCACTGACCCCCGTCTTTCCGAGCCCCGAGGAGACCTCGGAGACGCCCGCCCGGCCAGCGGCGAGCCCGAACCGCCACATCGGACCCGAGCGATCGGCAGCGGCCTCCGCGCGCGGCCGAGCGGCCCGACACGTGGCGGCAGGAGCAGATCTTCGGCACGTCCGGGTCGTCCCCGCAACCGTAGCCTCCGGCGGGCGCGGCGCGGGGCTCCGCAGCCCCCTCCGCGGGAGCTGCCGCAGGCCGTTCCGAGCGCCTCCGGCCCCCCGACCTTGCGGGGCTCGGTGGGGCGGGGCGCGCCCCGCGGCCCGCGGCGGGCACCAGGAGTGAACGGTCGGAGTCGCCAGCTTCGGCGCGGACGCTGACGTCGGGGGCCCAGGGGCGCCGCGGGGCGCTCGGAGAAGCTTGCGTTTGACTTCGCGGAGGGATGCCGATTCTGGAGGCGGCGCGACACGAACCCGGCGCGCGCCACGAGAGAGAGAGGGGGAGAGAGAGAGAGGGAGAAAGAGGAAGGGAACGGCACGACGACGACAAAGAGAAGGCCGACCAGCACAGATCGGGAACAAACGGCCAACAGCGTGGGGCGGATCGGGGGCAAAAGGCCGGGGCAGCCCCGATCTGCACCAGCGAAAGTGAGGATCGGCGGCGAGCGAGGGGGGGAAATGAGAAAGAAAAGGCCTTGTCAGAAGGCGGCGGGACTTCTCAGAAGCCGTCGCGCCTTCTGACAAGTTTTCAGCGTCATCAACTAAGGCTTAAGCAATTCTCAGAAGGCTGGATGACATCCGAACAATCTGAGAAGGCCCGTTCCTTTTCAACTCCCCCACCTCTCTCGCCGCCGGAAGGAAGGAAAGATGTGGGCAGACCGCTGCAACGCGAAAGGTTGTAAAATCAACCAAACAATAAATTTAACAGGCGGCTGTCGTGACCAGGACGTTCCAGAAAAGGCTTCCTGGAACGTTATCGGAACAAACACTGGGAGCGCGGAAACCTGATACACGACAGCATCCGTACCTGGAAATTCCAGTCAAAATGTATCAGGGAAATAATCACGTTCAGTGGCGGAAAGGCCAGCACTGCCACAGGTTCCTGGGAGCCTCTCCAGGAAGACCAAAGCCTAGGCTCGCCGCGCGCGTTGCCCGCCGCCGTTTGGCCGTAGTGTTAGGGCCCTGGGACTGCACCCGCATCGTGGCCGCCGCGCGACCAACGCGGAAAGTGCTTACTTTTAGAAGCACGCTGCTGCTGATGCTATTATTCGCTTCGCGATCCACAGGTGGGGGGACAAAATCATAGTCCAATAATTCCATGCCGAGCCATTATCGCGCGTCGGCCGCACGCGCATGTCGAAACTCCTCGAAAACCTTCATCACCGATACGTGAGCATCATCATTGTCATCGGTGTGACCAGCATCGGCGCCGTCATTGGCTTGCGGTGGTCATCGTGACCATCGTCATCAGCAATGTTCCTAAATCATCGTGTGTGCCGCTGTCGACATCGCCATGATACCACGCCCGCCCGAATCACAGAGTCGCACTGACGTGCCCGCGCGCCAACGCGACCTGCGACACGCGCTGGAAGTCCCCAGCGGCCAGCGCCGCCGCGGCCGCGTCGGTCGCGCTAAACTAGCTGGCCGCTGTGCGGCGCGAGCCTGCGCGGGCTAGCGCAGCCGCAGCGATGGGCCATTCAGCGCCAGCCATCGCCGCCGCATTGGTTATACTAATCAAGTTGCGGGTAGACGGGTGGAGCGATTACGTGAGCAGCGGAGTTGACAACTCATGGCGAATAACAACTCACTGCACCATATCTTGCACCGCATAGACTGCACACCACAAAATGCACGACATAGACACCAAACAGATTGCTCAATATAATTTGCACGACATGAATTCTCCTCTCTAGAAACGGAATAGACTCTACCCCCCGCCCCCCGCCGATCATCGGTATTTTTTTTCTCGCCGTGCAATTTACAGACGATTCTGCCCCATCGCCCATCCTAAAAATAAAATCGTGCCATCCCACCATACTCCGCAACAATAATATATATATATATATATATATATATATATATATATATATATATATAAATAAAAAAAAAAAAAAAAAAAAAAAAAAAAAAAAAAAAAAAAAAAATGCGCGCACACTCGTTGATCAAGAATCAGAAATTCCCACAAACCCCTTTTGCAAAAAATGAAGCTAAGTGCACATGCGCGCATCGTCACGCGAATGCCGAAATCCTTCGAAAACATTTTGGTATCGCAGGGAATATGAAACCGACTGCCCCCAAAAAATATGAACACACAAAATCTCGCAACGCAAATATTCAAAAATAGTTTGCGCGCGCGCTCTTGCGAATTCTTATGCAAACCATGAGTTCTTCAACATTCTCGGAAAATGCTACCAAAGGAGCTTCGCGCGCGCGCATGTCGAAATCGTTCGGACGTCCCTGCGCGCGCGCCGTCGCAATAATATCCCCCCCACACCAAAAAAAAGGCACGCGCGCGCCGTCGCGCGCGCGTCCCGAAATCCGTTTTATATATATATATATATATATATATATATATATATGCGTCCCGAAATCCGTGTTTTAAATATATATATATATATATATATATATATATATATATAATACATAAAAGAAGAAAAACAAAAACAAAAAAAAAAAAAAAAAAAAAAAAAAAAAAAAAAAAAAAAAAAAACGCCTCCGCAACGATTGCACAATCGAGTGTCCAAAGAACCTTTACATATATATATATATATATATATATATAATAATGTATATATACACATATATATATAATAATACTAATAATAACAATAACAATAACAATAATAATAACAATAATAAAAATAAAACTAATAATACAATATGATATAATATAATATAATATAATAATAAATGGCTTCGCAACATCAATTTGCCAGAAAGCACGCGCTCGCGCCCGTGCGAATTTCTTGGGAAAGTCGTAGGTTTCCAAACATGTTCACGGTATTCTGCCAAGCGGGCCTCTGGCGCCGCCATGCGGGTCAGTCTCGCGCGCCGGCCGCGCGCGCATGTCGAACTCTGCCAAAAACCTTCATCAACGACGCGAAAACGCCGTCATCGTCGCCGGCGCGATCAGCACCGGCGCCGCGCTGGCCGCGACGTCGTCGTTCTCAACATCGCCGCCAGCATCGCTACTATCATCATCCACCGTCGTCGACGCTGCCATGATACAGCGCCCGCCCAAGCCGCCGACTCGCAGCGAAGTGCCCGCTGGGACGCCCCCAGCGGTCAGCGGCGCCGTGGCCGCGTCGGTCGCGCCAAACGAGCTGGCCGCTGCGCGCGCGCGCCTGGGTCGGCGCGGCCGCAGATGGACCCGCTAGTCACGCCAAGCACTCATCGCCATCGCCACCGCATGGATTTTGCAAACGACGTTCGGGTGGGCGGGCACATTGTTTGCAAGAGCATAGGATGTGTCAACTCGCGTGTTCAAAAACAACGACACGAGATATAATCTCCTTCATTCAAAAACACAAAATTATACCACCCCCGCTCCGGGAGTATCGCCCCCCCTTTTCGCATTGCAAGTTGCATACGATTCTGTCCCAGCGCCCATCCCAAGTATGAACTCATGCCATCCCAGCCAGGCCAGCATCGACACCCCCCGCCCATCCTCAAGAAAAACAACTACGCGCGCGCAGTCGGTTATCAAAAACGTCAGTTGTCAAGAACAGCTCGCGAAAAAAAAGAGGCGAAATGCACGCGCGCGCGTCGTCGCGCGCACATGCCAAAATCCTTCAAAAAACTTCGGTCTCGCAAGGAATTCAAGATCGAGCGCCCAGAACCAAACACACACACACACACACACACACACAAAACGAACGTTTCTCAACACGGATATCCAAAATAAGCTCGAGCGCGCGCTCCCGCGAATACTTAACCAAGACGCGCGCGCTCGCGCCCATGCGAATGCAATAAGAATACCAAAAAAAGAATTTCAACATGTTATGGAATTCCGCCAAACGGGCCTCCGGCGCCGCATGCCGAAATCATTCGCGCGCCCTTGCGCGCGCGCTGGGGAAGCACGATCCGCGCCCATTAACTCCACGCGGGCCACTCTCGCGCGTTTGCCGCACGCGCGCGTCGAATTCTCAAATCGCCGACTCGCACTGAAGTGCCCGATGGGTAACGCCCAGCGGTCAACGCCGACGCGGCGGCGTCGGTCGCGCCAAAGTAGCCGGCCGCTGCGCGCGCGCGGGCTGTCGCGGCAGCAGAGACGCACCAGCCGGCGCCAAGCCGCCGCACGGGGCCTGCAAACCAAGCTGCGGGCGGGCGGGCGGCACGTTTGCGCGAGCAGCGGAGCGGGCAACTTCGCATTGAGCATCGGTGGATTCTCCTATTCATAACAAAAAAATACCCCCCGAAATAATTCCACCCCCTTGTCGCATTGAAATTTGCTTGCGATCCCCCCCCATCGCCCATCCTAACTACGAGGTCACACCACCCCGGCCCAATCGGCATCGGCCCCCCCCCCGCCATCCTCGGCAGAGAAAAGAACTATGCGCGCGCACTCGCCAATCACAAATCATCAAAGAAAAAATCACAACAACAACAAAAAAAAACAAAATAGCACGCGGAAAAATTGCTCGCGCTCTTGTGAATTCATGGAGAAAACCAAAGATTTGTAACACGTTATGGAATTATGCCCAACAGGCCTCTGGCGCCGCATGCAGACATCATTCGCACGCCCTCGCGCGCGTTGGGGGGGGGGGGGGGGGCGGGCCCGCGTCAAATGATACCACGCGGGCCACTCGCACGTCGGCCGCGCGCGCGTGTCGAACCCTTTCCAAAACCTTCATCACCGCCGTGAGGACGCCGTCATCGTCGCCGGCGCGATCAGCATAGGCGCCCGCGCGCGCCGCGCCGCCGTCGCTGTCAACGACGTCACCAGCAGCGCCACTATCAGCATCGCGTCTGCCGCTGTCGACGTTGCCAGGATACCGCGCCCGCCCAAGTCGCCGACTCGCACTGACGTGAAGTGCCCGCCGGGGCGCGCCCAAGGGCCAGCGCCGACGCGGCCGCGTCGGTCGCGCCAAGCAAGCTGGCCACTGCGCGCGCGCTCGAGATGGCGCAGCCGCAGATGGGCCGGCCAACGCCAGGCACTCACACTCATCGCAGTCGCCACCGCACACGTTTGCAAACAAATTCGC